TAGTTTATGTTTGTGCAATTCTTAATTGTGCCTGTGCAATAAAGAAGTGTAGATCTATTGTAATATCAGCTATTTGCACAGATCAGGTCCCGTAGCGAGCTGTCATGATAAGTGCACTTTTACTTGCTGTTTATTTAGGAATTATATTGTATTATTGCACTTCTTTGTTAAAAACCATATATTTTTTATTGTTCATCAGTTTTTTTTATTTATTTATTTTTGTTTTTTTAACCGTTTATGATATTATGGTTAAGTTCTCACTATTTTATTGTTCCCCTCTGTGTTACCCTTTAATTATGAGATTAGAGATTTGATGTGCTATAGCATCAAGGCTTTACAATTTCCTTTGGCCGTACCAAACTAAATATACTTTTGTTGAATATAATAATCTGAAATGGTTCCCAAATATTTTTGGATTATTCACTTCTCTTTTTCCACATTCACTTAATTTTTCATCTATATATATATATATATATCTATTTCTTTTATTACTCTTTAGTTTTTTTTACACTTTTCACATAAAATAATCATTTTATTTTATTTATTTATTTATTTTTTTTTTTTTGATTCAATATTTTTTTTAATTGATTTCATTCCCCTTACTTATGTCAATTTCTAAAGAATCTATTTCCATTGTAAGTTTTAGTAGAAATAAGTAAAAAAAAAAAAAAAAAAAAAAAAAAAAAAAAAAGAGAATGTTTCGTCCTGTACTCTTAAATGAAAAATGTAAAACACACCACTTTTGTATACCGTAAGTTGCTTAAAATATAAATATTAGTATTTTAAAAAAATGGATTCCGAATAATATATTGTAAATTAGTTAAACAACTTTAGTAGCTCCTACTTAATATTATTTTTATGGAGGGTTTTTATGTATTCTTTTATTAATTTATATATCATTGTGTCACGAGGTTGTACCTTTTCCTTTATCACGATTCACATTTTCGATATTTTTCTCGGCCATATTGTTCTACTACTGATCAGAGAAAGACAATTATTTTTTAAATGAAGTAATTTATGTTACAAGTCAATTGAAATGTCCCAGTCAAAAGTTACACATGCACTATAGTATATTAATTTATCACAGATGTCTTTATATTTCACTATTGCCGAGTACTTCCAGCTCTACGCGATGTCTGCCTGCGAATGACGAAGTTTTCTGAATGGCACAGGGCTTTTATTACATCTTGTAGTGAAAATTTGAAGATTCATTTCCAGATCATTAACACTTTCTTATCAAAGATAAGAAATCTTACACATGCTTCCCATAAAGATTATGAATGGATTGTAATTAAATTAACCGTATTCGCTTATAATATTTCTCAAATGAATAATACAAGAATTGTTATAAACTTGATTAAATAAAATCAAATCAAATCGAGTCAATTCGCGCCTAAGCTCAGACACAAGATACATAGACACAAAGCTTGCCTAAATATCAAGTATGTGCACTATATATGGAGTAGCGTAGGACATTTACTATATCTAAGAAAATAACCCGGTTTGTTTTGTTAGACACAGCGTGCAAAATAGCTCGACTTTAAAGAGGGCTTTCAGCCTATACACAGATATACGTCTAACTACAATCGTGTAGCCAGAAAATGCTTTGTCACTCATGGGTTAAACATTTAAATAAGCATGCACATCTGTACACAGATATCTAGGCATCCTCCAGTCCTCATCATAGCCGAGACAACGTGTTGCTAATCAGCGACAGCCCACAAGTGATGATAAGCAAAAAGGTAGCAACCAAGTATAAGATATATCATATTTGGGGGCAGGTAAACGAGTGATAAGCGCTTTGCCTGCTGACTTAGCAGCTGAGAATGTTTAAATAATTACTTATATGTAAATAGTAAATATACAATACAACATTAAAAAATTTATTTTGAACGATTCTACGTGTTCCTAAAATTTATATACATACATATATCTATATATTTCAGCTTAGTCTAGGCATATGTTGCTGACTAACAAAGAGTCTCCGCAGCATTTGTGTAAATGCCCGCGTATTCAGTCAATGGAATCCACCAATTTGCACATCATGCGATCATGCTGATAGCTGGGGTCATTTTTAGCTGCAGCATTCGATTCGAGGGGATCGACTTCCATTTTGATTTTCGCTCCGCCATGCTCGTCTTCATCGTACAGTGTTGGCAGTGCTGCGAAAGCGCTATTAACAATATCACGTACACGCTCCAAATGCTTCTGAAAACGTGTAGCCGTTTCTACCCGCTGCCTCTTCTGCATTTCCATCATCACGCGCAGAGTCTCGCGCGCTTGATGCGGACGGAACTCATTCAAAAGGTGGTGCATATTGACAAAGAGCAGACTGATGTCATCAATCTGTAATGATATAATACATATGTATTATTGTTTCAATTTACATTGTTGATCCACTCACTTTCTCTGTGCGCCTCGGACTATCGGGATTTAGTATCAAAAAGTCAATTAGATCCAAGAAGTTAACGAGCAGCGAGTGATTCAGCTTCTTGAGCTCCTTGCGGCGATCAAAGTGTATGGGTATTAGACGCTTGATGTTTTGCGACTCTAAAGAGCGTATCATCTCGTCGTTATTATACTGAATGCCAAACATACTGTAAACTTCATGCTGCGACGGTGGTGGAGGCGGACGCGGTGCTCGATTTCTCCTAATGTTCTCATCTGTATAGTTGCTGATGTAACGCTCCGGTGGCATGGGCAAACTAGACACTTGAGTTTCAGCGGCGGACATCTTAAGTTTTTAATTTTACAGCCGGTTCGCACTTTTTGCGATTTATGTTTACTTAGTCGACTACAAAATAAATGCAGCCAGTATGACCGTTAGAAAAATTGTAAAAATACCAAACAAACGACACCAAAATACTAAAGGGATTTTGGCGCCCCGTGACAGCCACATTGTTTTGGTAACAGCTGTTTAATATTTTGTTTATTATTCTGTTGTTTATGCCTAATTATCATGGCCAGTTACACGATTGAACAACACGTTCAAATGATAAAACTTTATCAAAATGCTCATTAACGCAAACGTTGCGCGCACTGCGCTTATTTTGCGGTAGACGTGGTGGCCCTTCCAAGTCGACTCTTAAACGTTTGGTGGCCAAATTTGAGACGACTGGTTCAGTAAACAATCAGCCAACACCCGTACGTTCAAGGAAAGCAAGATCTGCCAAGAGCATTGCCGCGGTCCGTGAAAGTGTACAGCAGAACCCGTGGCAGTCTATTCCTTGCCGTGCACACGAGCTTGGCCTTTCGCAGACTTCAACTTGGCTCAAAGTTCATAACCATAGACTACGCCGTTTGTTCTCTGACTGGGCTTCAAATCGTTTGGAAGAGAACACCAGTTTTGAGCGAAAAATCATCTTTAGTGACGAGGCGCATTGAAAATTGGACCACTCGGTTGCGCTCCACCGCAAAAAGCCGTGGCGGACATTTGAAAGATGTCATATTGCACACTTAATGGCATATATGCACCTTTCAAATAAAAAATAATTGTGTCAATACCTCACACACAGCTTGTTTAATTCCATTTCAACGTCTACCCGCCCTTACTGAAAAACCCTTTAGTTGGCAATTCACCCTACTATTTAAAAAATATACATTTAATACAGAACTTAAATGATTTTTATTTTAACTTGACAATTTTATCCTAAGCCACAAAAAAAAATAATAATAATAATTTTTGGGCTGTGAGACAAGTATTGGAAATAACAAAAGCATTTCCACTGTTTGAAAATCTCTTTATTGATATTTTAATTATTTAATTTGTACCTTCCAAAAACATAACTTTTTATCAGACACTGCGCAGATGTATGGCAAGCGCTGATGCCACGCCAGACCGCCGTACGTCTTTAGAGGCGATTCAATTAGCGGTACAGTTGACTTGCCCACGAAAACTTTCAACGTAAGATCCGGCCGTCCAATGGTGGCTATTGCAATCTCGGTGCTACCTGGAGCAAAGCGTACAACACGGCCTCCGTCCTCGTGCACTTGCTTGATGTCAGCAGGCACAAATGGACGGCTCAAGTCCCAGGTGACAATGTCGCCACCAGCCAAGGCTGTAACAAAAAGCCGATTGTTGTTTGCCCAATCGGCGGACATCAGTGGAAATTTTGGTGATTCGACAGAGACCACTGTTTGCTTGCTACGTACATTATACAGATGGATGATGCCTAAAAGTAAATATGATAATAGTGGCTGCAGCTCAAATTGATAGGTATTACCTACCGCGCTTCTCTGCCACGAGCACCTTGCTGGGATCCTCTGGATGGCTTTTAATGGACATACCCGCCGAGGAAAGGCAAAACGTGATTACGTTCTCCAAATTCGTCGCGATATTCCAAAACTTGCATGTGAAATCGTCGCTAACCGAAGCCAGCAACTCGCCATCGCAGACCCACGCAATATCATTGATGTAGCTGCTGTGTCCACGCAGGTATTGCACGCTGCTCAACTCATTCAAATTCGTGTGAAACAGTGTCAAATTGCACCTGCCAATTGAGGCGCACACAGTAACTTTGTTTGGCGTACAGTTTAGCGAGGTGTCCGGCGAGAAGGCGATTCTGTGACATCGTGCATCCTCATCCGGTATCTCAATGTCTTGCACATGATTCCATACAAACATCCCGCTTTCCTCCTAACAATAAAAATGCCATATTATTATATAGTCAATTGTTTTATTTCTTTATTACTTGCCGGCAGACCAATAAGTATCAAGGAGATGTGTTTTTGTTGGGCTACGCAGATTAGGTTATAGGCAAAGTCATTTTCGCATATTTCGAAGCAGTTAATGGGTTCACTCATCAATATGCTGTGGTCTGGCTCCGTTGTTGCCCTCATTTTTATTAACTTTTATTATAAATTATAAAACAACACAATCTGCCGGCGCCAATTTCTTACACAAGTGTTGGGTAATTTCATTAGATTGCCGCAAGTTGGCAGGGTAGCCACTCGTGTGGTAAAACATTGTAATCGACGCCAACTTCACTCGTTTTTCATATAGTTGGCAGCACTACAAACAGCAAGCGTAGCCGACTTTGCGTTTCGAAGATTCATTTCCTTTCTTTCTATTTCAGCGTCTGAATTGAACGGACGTCATGGTGAGTGCTGCTCTGATATAGTGAAAATTGTAATGAAACAAGTTACATATGTATAAAATGATGAAAGTTTATTAATTTTATTGTGAACTAGTACCGGAATGTAATGTAACTTAATATAAATTTAAAGAAAAAGAAGAACCGGGCCAACCAAAAAATTACTTAATAGCTAACACGTGCATTAAAGACATACCTTTCTATACATAACCTCAAACAAAAATTTAATTGAAATATTTCGATTTAAATACGCAATCAATGGATCCATTAACCGGCATTATTCATATTTACAGTCGCATCGTAAGTTTTCTGCACCTCGTCATGGCTCTATGGCCTTCTACCCCAAGAAGCGCTCATCCCGCCATCGTGGCAAGGTTAAGGCTTTCCCCAAAGATGATGCCACCAAGCCAGTGCATCTGACTTGCTTCATCGGCTACAAAGCCGGTATGACTCACATTGTGCGTGAGGCCGATCGCCCTGGATCAAGTAAGTATTGGAGAACATACATATTTATAATGTCTAGTCAATTTTCCATGATGAGGAACAGTTAAAATTTTATGGTTAGAACACATATGATTAACCGTGATTATCAATTAACTAGGGCGGACTGACTCGCACTTAAAATATTAAGATTTTTGATTGACACGCACGTGCTTAACCTCGATTTTTCAATTTCTTGTAATATAGAGATCAACAAGAAGGAGGTCGTCGAGGCTGTCACCATTTTGGAGACACCGCCAATGATTGCTGTTGGCGCTGTCGGCTACATTGAGACTCCATTCGGCCTGCGTGCTTTGGTCAATGTCTGGGCCCAGCATCTGTCCGAGGAGTGCCGTCGCCGCTTCTACAAGAACTGGTATGTACCTGAATGCCAGACGCCATTTTCTTTTTTCCTGAGTTGCACACGTGGTTACAAGTTGTTCGGTTTCTTTGCTTCTGTATGATGAGAATTTGGTATCTGAATGACCCTGTCGAAAATCTTGTATACCATACTGTTGCCTTCCTTCTGAACACAGTTGCAAAGTTGCAAAACTTTACTTAAAGCTGCGTGTGCGATGTGTGTTCTCAAAGTTTGATTTTTACTAACTTGAATGAAAATCATAAAGTTCTTCGATCAGTTCGCTGAGAGAGCTTTTCAAATCAATGCAAGTCGTGTGAGCAGCATTTGGCCATTGTGTCCATTTGATGAGTGAGCACGTCATGGAAGATTGTCATCTCCGCTCGCTATTTTAATAGGCGATGAGGTGTGCTTCCCGTTTTGTCTCTCGCCCCGCACAGACTTGATACACGGCGCTCGATTGATAGAGTCGACACGGCACTGTATTAATTCTCCAACTCCAAACTTCGTCCCAATCAGGTACAAGAGTGAGAAGAAGAAGGCTTTCACCAAGGCCAGCAAGAAGTGGACCGATGACTTGGGCAAGAAGAGCATCGAGAACGATTTCCGCAAGATGTTGCGCTACTGCAAGGTCATCCGTGTGATTGCCCATTCGCAGGTAAATATATATATATAATTTTGTTGAATTCTTAAATGGACGACGTCCTTGGTCTTGTTGCGCCGGCTGTGCCTCACGGCCGGCCGGTGCGCCTGGCCTAAAAAGCATTCGCGCTGTGATTTGTCGATGCACAGTTTATGGATGCAACGTCGTAGATTAAATTGCCCTTCGGGTGGCGATGCTTGATATATTCCAGTAACGGTGCGCAGCCGTTCAGGCGATGAGCGCGCGGTTAAACCATATCACGCACAGTCTCTACATATGTAATTCCAATTTGACTTTAACCGGTATACTTATTTTTTGATTTTCAGATCCGCCTGATTAAGCAACGTCAAAAGAAGGCCCACATCATGGAGATCCAGCTGAACGGTGGCTCCATTGAGGATAAGGTCAAGTGGGTGCGCGAGCACCTTGAGAAGCCCATCCAGGTCAGCAATGTGTTTGGCCAGGATGAGATGGTCGATTGTGTGGGCGTGACCAAGGGCAAAGGATTCAAGGGTGTCACCTCGCGTTGGCACACCAAGAAACTGCCCCGCAAGACGCACAAGGGTCTGCGCAAGGTCGCCTGTATCGGTGCCTGGCATCCATCCCGTGTGTCCACAACTGTGGCACGTGCTGGTCAGAAGGGCTACCATCATCGTACCGAGATCAACAAAAAAATCTACCGCATCGGTGCTGGCATTCACACCCAGGATGGCAAGGTAAGAATCTCCCATGCATAACAAAAAAAAATCCCTTTAAATGATGATAAAAACTTATTAAATAACGACATCGAAAAACAAAAAAGCTTGATAAACCGTGATATCTATAATGATAGGACTGATCACATTTTGAAAACAAACTGCTTTGCTCTTGTAGCCAGTCCATTAATGTATACTCTTTTATTTTCAGGTCATCAAGAACAACGCTTCCACGGAGTACGATTTGACCGACAAGAGCATTACTCCCATGGGTGGCTTCCCCCACTACGGTGAGGTCAACAACGACTTCGTCATGATTAAGGGTTGCTGCATTGGCTCCAAGAAGCGCGTCATCACTCTGCGCAAGTCGTTGCTGCGCCACACCAAACGTTCGGCGCTGGAACAGATTAAGCTGAAGTTTATCGACACCTCATCCAAGATGGGTCATGGTCGATTCCAGACCCCTGCCGACAAGTTGGCCTTCATGGGTCCACTCAAGAAGGATCGCCTCAAGGAGGAGGCAGCTGCTACCACCGCTGCTGCTGCCGCCGCTTCTACCGCCTAAACATTTATCCATATTTTGTATCGATCAATCAATACAAGATAAGATCCGTTTACTCGGTGTTTTATGTGTTGACTTCTGCCGTCTCCGTCACGGCACGGTTGGCTCAATAAAAGATGACCTTATAAAAACAAAAACAAAAATTTTGGCTTGTTATATAAGGGAATAGAAACCATCAATGTATAAGGCTGCCACCAGTTACATTGAATATGCTACATAACTAGGAAAGTCCTTGTATTTCTGTTATTAGTATTCCTTAATTAAATAAAAAAAACTTGGCTATCATTGAACGGGAGCGCCCCTAATTAAATAATAAATAAGTAACAATTACTATATGAAGAAAAGTAGGTTTAATAGAAAATAGGAAATTAAACTAATTAATATGTTTCGTAACTTAAATCAATCTTCAAGGTGGAATTGGATCTTCTGTTGCTCTTTATTATTGATTAAGTAATGATATTAATACATGTAATTCAATTCTCTGTATAATATTAATGTTCCTTAGAGAACCTTAATGTCGGGCACAACCTTCTCGTTGTCGTAGATCTCCTTGGCATAGCAGAGATTGGGATAGTCAAAGGCGGCGCCATATCGATTCTTGCAACCAGAGGTGGCCTTGTCGCCGGGTGTGTACACGGGCTGGCCAATCACGTTGGTAGTGGCAAAGTTACAGGTGAGCACGAAGTGGTTGTAGAAATCGCGAGAGAAGCGCACAGCGGCACAGCCCAGATGGGTGTTCTTCTCTGCCACGGCAACGGTGAACTTGGCCACATTCTTGTTGGGCAAGTCTTCTGGGAAGCTGGCCAAGATCTCAGGGGAAGCATTGGCACGCTGCTTAAACCAGTTCTCGATCTGCTCCTTGATAATCTCCGCATCGGTGTACTCCGACTCAGCACCGCTGTAGCTGAACATGGCATTGTTCTGGCCAGCGTAGGCGAAGCGCTCCGTGCTGCGGCACTTGTCGGGAAGCGATTGGCATGTCTTCACGTTATATAAAGCCAGGTGGGCCAGTTCCTCGCACCAGGTCATCTTGGCCATGCGCGCTGCCTTGGGCAATCCCTCGATGGCGCCTCCAGCAACTGTGTTGCGCAGCTCATTGAACAGAGTCAGGATCAACTTCTCATGGGGCTGCATATTCACCTCTCGCACATCCTTGGGGCAGTTCTCGCTAAAGTTCTGCAGAATGTCTGTGTTTGTAGTGGATTGATGCTGGAAAGGATTAAATACTTACTCCTTTATTATTGCAGGCAATGTGCTTGTCCAGGCAGGTGGGCAAGGCGCAGTAGTCGATGGAGGCGACGAGGCCAACTAGGACAGACATCAAAAGAAATACCTTCATTGTTGATATGTTGTACCGATCAACTGTTCGCACTTAACTGATGCTCAACAAGCGAAGCAGGCGAGCATTTATAGCACTGCTTGGAGCACACATTCCAAGAATCGATGTACACTCATTCATGTGCATTGCAGACACATGCTTCGATTATTTGCAACTTCTGGTTTATGTCATCGCAACTGAGTTAGCTTGAAGCTCTGCTCAGCCTAATCCATTCTCACATCTGTGTTTTCGCCCATTATCGCGTTGACTCACTCCTTTGCATTAATAACACCTGTGGCCCCTGTTGCAGCTCACATTGGTATAAATGGGGCTACTGTTGTAGGGACGCCTCAGTTACAAGCCAACAGCCATCAAGTACAAGATGTTCTCCAAAGTCTGTAGCTTCTTAGTGCTGGCCACAGCCTTAGTAGGCCTCGTTGCCTCCGTGGACTACTGCGCCTTGCCCACCTGCCTGGACAAGCACATTGCCTGCAATAATAAAGGAGTAAGTATTTAATCCTTTCCAGCAGCAATCCACTACAAATCTATATTTGAATGTCTGTATTTGGCAGAACTTTAGCGAGAACTGTCCCAAGGATGTGCGTGAGGTGAATATGCAGCCCCATGAGAAGTTGATCCTGACTCTGTTCAATGAGCTGCGCAACACAGTTGCTGGAGGCGCCATCGAGGGATTGCCCAAGGCAGCGCGCATGGCCAAGATGACCTGGTGCGAGGAACTGTCCCACCTGGCTTTATATAACGTAAAGACATGCCAATCCCTTCCCGACAAGTGCCGCAGCACGGAGCGCTTCGCCTACGCTGGCCAGAACAATGCCATGTTTAGCTACAGCGGTGCTGAGTCGGAGTACACCGATGCGGAGATTATCAAGGAGCAGATCGAGAACTGGTTTAAGCAGCGTGCCAATGCTTCCCCTGAGATCTTGGCCAGCTTCCCAGAAGACTTGCCCAACAAGAATGTGGCCAAGTTCACCGTTGCCGTGGCAGAGAAGAACACCCATCTGGGCTGTGCCGCTGTGCGCTTCTCTCGCGATTACTACAACCACTTCGTGCTCACCTGTAACTTTGCCACTACCAACGTGATTGGCCAGCCCGTGTACACACCCGGCGACAAGGCCACCTCTGGTTGCAAGAACCGATATGGCGCCGCCTTTGACTATCCCAATCTCTGCTACGCCAAGGAGATCTACGACAACGAGAAGGTTGTGCCCGATATCAAAGTACTTTAAGGAATGGGTGAAAGTATGAGTATTCATAGTTGCTGACTGACCGCTTTAAGATGTAATATAAACCCTTGAAATATATAATAATTATAAAAAATAACGATTTCGCATTCTACTGATTCCGCTTTAGTTGTGATTGTAGATGGACTCAAATTGTTTTAAACACAGAAAATGCTTTTGAATAAAAATCAGCTATTTCAAATTTAACTACTATGCGTTCAATCAGCTGATCGATATTTGAAGTAAGTTGGCAGCACTAGCTTAAGCAAAGATGTTACGCCAGGTTTTCCGAATCGGCAGCAGGCGCAGCTACAGCTATAAATCTGTACGTCGTCCTAACCTTGGTGCGCTGTCTGGGAATGTAGAGTTGGAGCAGAGTCAGAAGCTGAAGCAACCATCTGGGGCAAATGCGAGCCAGAATGGGAACCTGGCCAAACAGTTGGCCGCCAAAATTCAAGCGACGGGGCCCATCACCGTGGCCGAATACATGCGGGAGGTGCTAACGAATCCCCAGGGCGGATACTACATGAATCGGGATGTGTTTGGCCGGGAGGGTGACTTCATAACATCTCCGGAGATATCTCAGATTTTTGGAGAGGTGAGTTCCGTCCGAATATACCCAACCGAACAGATCTGTGATCAAGAAAACTCTATTTAGCTCGTGGGCATCTGGTTAATGAACGAATGGCAGAAGCTGGGCAGTCCGTCGCCTTTCCAACTTGTTGAATTGGGACCAGGACGGGGCACACTGGCCCGTGATGTGCTTAAAGTGTTGTCCAAATTCAAAAGTGGCGCTCAGTTCACCATGCACATGGTCGAGATTAGTCCGTACCTCAGCCAGGCGCAGGCGCAACGCTTCTGCTACAAGCATGAGGTCCTGCCAGAGGGGGAGCAGCTGTCACATTACCAACTTGGCACCACGGCCACGGGAACGCAGGTGTTTTGGCACCGCCGGCTGGAGGATGTACCAGCTGGGTTTTCTCTAGTGCTGGCGCACGAGTTCTTCGATGCGCTGCCTGTGCACAAGCTGCAGCTTATCGATGGCCAGTGGCAGGAAGTGCTCATTGATGTGGACACAAAGTCGACGACTGCTGATTTCCGATACGTTTTGTCCAAGGCTCAAACGCCCGTGTCGCAATTGTTCAAGCCGGTGCAGCAGGAGCAACGCACCTGCCTAGAGTACTCGCTTGAAGCGGAGCGACATGTGCGCCTTCTGTCAGAGCGACTAGAGCAGCATGGGGGCATCGCCTTGATCATGGACTACGGCCACTTTGGCGACAAAACAGACACGTTTCGAGCTTTCAAACAGCACGCTCTGCACGAGCCACTGCTGGCGCCAGGCACGGCGGATCTCACAGCCGATGTCGACTTCAGGCATCTAAAGCACGTCGCGGAGATGCACGGCGACATCCACTGCTGTGGACCAGTGCAGCAGGGCGCCTTCTTGAGAAATATGCAGGGCGAAGTGCGCCTGGAGCAGCTGCTGGCCCATGCGTTGCCCGAGAACCAGAGCATCATACGCTCCGGCTACGAGATGCTTACCGATCCAAACCAAATGGGCAGCCGATTCAAGTTCCTTGCCATGTTTCCCGGCGTAGTGGCTGCCCACCTGGAGAAGTATCCCGTGGCTGGCTTTGGATAACATATGCTTTGTATTTAATATAAAAATGTTCTGTTCTATACACGATCTACTATAGTAATGTTTCGAATGTGGGCTATTTCTTTTGGAATGCTGCGTTGATGGTGTGCATCTCGCTGCTGGTGAACTGAAGGACAGCGCTGATGGCGTTCAGCATGTGTCGCTTGTCCTCCGCATCTCGCGTGACAATGAAGCTAATGACAACGTTCTTCAGATACTCCAAGTTGGCGCCCTCGCGCGTCTTGCAACGCTCCAATCTGGATTGGAAGATGGGCAGGAAAATCAGCACAAAGTCAATCAATTGAAGTCTTGACTCACCTATCCACTTGCTCCTCGAGCTGCTCTATCTTTTCGTGCATTTCCTGCTGCGCCGTAACTTTATCCTGTATAGCTTTCCTAAGCGTCGACTCCGCAACGTATTTGGATTTGCGCAACGCTGTAATCTCAATGTCCTTGCGAGCCAGCTCATTGGCGTAGTGCAGCATGTGACAGTTCTCGCCCAATGACAGCTTCTTGGGCTTGACCTTCATCTTCGTCTCCCGTTCGCCCTCGACCTCCACGCTGTCCGCGTCCGAGGAGTACGCAAAGGTCTCGCTGGTTTCTAGAGGCGACACGTTTGGCTTGTGGAACACCTCGAAGGAGGTCTGCAACGTTTTAATCTCCTGCTCCTTCTCGTCGAGCAGTTGGAGTGAACGCTGCCGCTGTTTTTGCAGCAACTGCTCCAGCTCGTTCAGTTTGCAACGCGTCTCATTTTCCAACTCCGCCTTCGCCTCCTGCCACTTGGCACGCTCGTTCTTGAGTGCTATGCGCATCTTGTCACCCTGCTGCTTCAGCTCAAGCTCGGCCTCGTCAATGTTGCGATTGAGCACCTGCACCTTGTCCTGCAGTGTCTGGATGTGTGTCTGCTGCAGCTGAATCTTCTGCTGCAGATGCGCCTCCTGCTGCTTACTGTTGTCCAGCAATTTCTGCAGGTTCTGCAACTGCTGCTCACACTGGACGTGGCTGTCAGCGCTGGCTGTCGCATGGCTGCTGGCCAGCACCGTGTTGAGGTCTATGGGATTGGAGGAGCGCGCATTGGCACTAGTTAGCAACTTCTTGAGACGCACAATCTCATCCACCAGAGCACCTATATCCTGCTCGCTATCTTTGACCTCCTGTACTGTACTACCCGGCGCTGTACGGGTTTGCAGCTGTTCCAGCTCCTGCAGCTGCTGCTTGAGAGCATGGATGCTGTCCTGATCCTGTTGTCGCAAACGGTCGTAGCTACCTACCGTGTTGCTTAGCTCGGCCAGGCGAGACTCCAAGTTGGCCACCCGATCCTCATGCAAGGCTGCCTGTCGTCGGCTTTGCTCTTCGGCACGCAGCACGCGTCGCTGCTCCTGCTTGATGGCCACCGAGTGCTGCTCCTTCAATTGCTGCATCTCCTGGCGCACCTGCTGCAGTAACACGTTGCTATCGGTCGCCGATACTGCAGCAGTCGTTTGCTCTGCTTTGGTCTGAAATTGCTTGAGCTGGGCACGCGCCTCCTTCAACTGGAGCTGCAGCTCTCGCAGGCGGCTGTTCTCGGCTTCGTTGCTGGCAAACTGCGTTTTAAAATTGTTCAACTGCATCTCAATGTTCTCTTTGAGGTGCCGCTCGTCTGCGTACAGCTTCTGGAGCTCGCGCAGCATAATCATTTGATTGTTGGTCTCCTTTTCACGTTCCTGCCTCTCAATGATCCACTTTGCTTTCACTTCATCCACTTCGTTTTTAGCGCGCTGCGCCTGCTCCTTGGCCTTAGCGTGCAGCTCCTGTATGATCTGTTCCTTTTGAGCTATCTGTGCGCGCAGCTGCTTCTTGTCCGCCTGAAATGACGCCTCCATCCGGGACTTTTCCGCAGAAAGTGTAGCCAGGGAATTCATAAGTGTTATTATCTGCGTCTGCAGCTGACCTTTTTCCTCATTGCCCCCGGCTATATCGCTGCCTGAGGCTGTGGAGCCATCAGTCATATCGCCGTTTACTTCGCCTCCGGTTGCGACTGCTTTGGAATCGACAGCATTTGAATCCTTGCCAGATGTAACTTCGGCATGCGCTGCTAAGCTCGTCTCCAGTGCCTCCTTCTCTTTGAGCAAGCCCTTGTACGCTGTGACCACGTCTGCAATTTTTGTTAATTAGCTGCAATTTACATTTGGTTTATTGCACAACGATTTACCTTTGAGCCGCTTCTCGTATCGTGACAATTGCTCCTTCTGCGTGGCCACCAGAGCCTCCAGCTCGCGCTGTCGCTTATCCATCTTTCATTCGTTCCAATTGTAAGCGATCAAGTAAGTCACAATTAAAATCTGAATTTAATTATTTCTATCGTGGCAAACAAATTGAAATCAACTACAGCAAAGCTTTACGATACCCTGTACTTTAATCGAATGTTGATATGATTGCCTGATAAGACTTTATAAAATTTAATTACTATTCAGTGCTTGTTATTTCATTTATAGTGCTCATATTGAAAGTGTAAAGCAAGTGTAACTGCGATCGGGACCTAAAAATGTATTTGAATATGAAAAATAAATTAAAATGTACTTAAACATATGTAGCCAACAATTAATTAAACGTTTATATTTCATTATACCTTATTGTCATAATAGCTATGTTTATTAATTCAACAATACAAATAATCAGCTATCGTTGTTTACTCTTCCATTACTCATAACAGCAGTTATCGAAGTAAAATTTAACGCATTACTCCAAAAAAAAAGGTATCTCACAGTCTGCCTTTATTCTTTCCTTTTGCTTGTTTGTTTGTGCTTTGGATAACAGCTGTTGACAGTGCTGCCAAGTTGAATTGTTTTATCAATTATTTTAACTTATGATTTAAATTGACTTGAACCACTAACCAGAGAACTCTTACATTATATTTATTAATAAGAAATAATCATAAGCTACTATAAAAAGTAGATATATATACATAAACAAGACTTATTTTTATTTTCATTTGCAAATGTTTCGAGTCATGTACTCTGTCTATAGCTTTTGGCAGAGATGCCAACTTGATTTTATTATTAAATACTAAAGCTTATGAAAATATTTAAATACGCTAGCGGTTATGTGTCACCGTCCTCTTTCATCATTTGTTCAATTAAACGTTTACGCTCCTCTGCCTGGCGCAGCTTCCTCATGACCAAGTCCTCGTAATCCCTTGCAGTTGCATTACTCTGATGGGTTGGGGTTATTATTTTATCTTGTGCCGGCGGATTTACCCACTGAAAGTGCAGGGGATTCGAAGGATTACCTTTCTCATAGGCCAGCACCATATCGCAGGCTTCTCGTGTCTTAAGCTCCACCATGGCACGTCCGCGAATTTTTGGGTTCATGACTAGCGCAACTACCTCGCCGTATTTCTTCAGGTACTGCATAAGACGCTCTTGTGTGTAGCCGCCGTTACTCTCATCGCCTTTATCACACTTCCATTTAATCTTGATGCGATGCTGTGCGGAATCAAAGGACGGCGTTTGCTGGCGTTGCTTCTGTTGCTCGGCGTAGTTGCGTTTCAGTTGCTCCCGCATCGCTTGTTGCTCCTCCTCTAGCAACTTGGAGCCTTCGCGCCGCAAGCGTTCGATCTGCTCCTGCAGCACCTCCTCATCGGTTTTACGCACTGTGCTGTACGGTTGTCCTGCCTGCAACTTATGTAGGGCTGCACGTTCTCTTTCCTCCAGTTCCTCTTTTAGCTTTTGTCTTTTACTGTCCAGCTGTTTGGTGCGAAGCTCAGCTGCCTTTTTGGCCCTGAGTACTTTGTCGTAGGCGGACCGGGCTGTCGCATCTGTTAGTATTTCCAGTGCCTTGGACAGCTCATGAAAACGTTCCACGGCCTGGGGATTATCGGGGTTCTTATCCGGATGACAGTCTAGCGCACGTTTTCGATACGCTTTCCGAATCTCGGCCTGCTCGGCCTCGATGGACACGCCGAGCAGGTCGTAGAGATTTATATCACTGTACTTTTTGCTACTCATAGCTTTAATTTACACAGTTTAACAACAAATGTTGCAAACGTTTGTGAATTGTTTACAAGCCGGATAGGAATGCTTGCTGATCAGCTGTTCAGTGCGATAGGTTGGCAGCGCTGCGAGTAAGTGAATTTTATTTTGTATGTATTTTAATTATAAGCAGACCAAAAAATAAAAAAGGATTTATTTATCATGATGAGGTAAATAAGGATTTTGGTTTGCGAATCTTTTCATTCCGTGATATTAGCTTCGAAATATTTGTAGACATATTTACAGGCGGTATAATATCTACAGATCATCTGTTAATTGAGACAGATTGGCAGCACGTCGACCGCAACGTGTGTCCCATTTGTATATGCGTGAATAATCCAAATACTATAGATCTAGAGTAGTCAAAAAGATAATGAGTATTTACCACGACGAAGTCGAGATTGAGGATTTCGAATACGACGAGGAGGAGGAAATGTATTACTACCCTTGTCCCTGCGGTGATCGATTTCAAATTTCCAAGGTATGTCTGCGCATATCAAAAATTGTGGCAGTTACTTATAAAGGTTTCTGGCTTTGCAGGAGGAACTTATTGAAGGGGAGGAAGTAGCCACCTGTCCAAGTTGTTCACTGATCATTAAAGTCATATATGACGCGGTAATTTTGTTAAATTAATCTTGCAGTAGAAAAAATGCTGAACATCAAGTGAATTATATTTTAACAGGATATGTTTAAAGCGGAGGAGGACGAAACGGCGGCGCTTAACGAGAAGTTGAGCGACTTAAAGCTGGAGAGGAACTAGCTCCTATTTAGAGTGTCGTCGAGTGGGTAATGATCAATTTTTTATTTGTATACTTTCGTTTATTGTAAATAATGTGTTGACTAGTAAACAATTAGTTTAAATAATACTTTACCGGAAATATTTGATTACAGTTTTTGTTACATAGCTTTAAAAAAAAATATGTCCTATAAATAAATAATGAATCGGAAATAAGACCCGCACAGATGGTCTGATAAAATTCAAAGAATATTCCCTGTGCAGATAATTTAAGATCGATATAAATAATCATTGTAAAGCTTAATGTACAACTACAAAGATTATGTATTGCACTAGGCGCTAAATTTGAATATATATCATATTCAGGAAAACACAAGGAACTAATTTTAAGTACGAGTTGAGTGTGGAAATGTGAACATAGTTACATGGAAATATAGTAAATCATAACAATATGAACTGTGCCTCGCGTTTCACTTTCTGCTTATGAATTAGGAATTCGACTTAGGTGTAAGCTTTTTAGATATTGTTAAGAGTCATGTAGCATTTACAGAGAGGGAGACCATGTACTCCGTTCTGATATACTTCGACCGACGTGTAAAAATGTGTCTTGTGTGTGGAACAGAGTTAGTACGTTTGATCAACTATGCTGGGTTGCCGTTCCGGTTATAGTGCCTATTGTTCCAGCCATGAGCCTGTGATGTTATTCGGTGATTTAAGCTGTAAATAGTACCAGAGGTTAAGGCGAGTCTAGGTACTATTGTAAGGAGTATTTCACCTTTATGTTGAACTGCTTTAACGTGCTCTCCAGTGCCATGGCATTGCCCGAAAAATAAGCGGCAATCGCATTGTGCAGCAATATGAGCTGCTTGTGCATCACTTTAATCTGCAGGATAAGCAAAGTTTATAGACCATAATGTATTTTTAGTCTAATCAAAACTCACGCGATTCTCGTCGAGAAATTGCATTTTAACGGCAACATCACCTCGCAGCTTCTCGTATTGATCCTTGTGATGTGCAAAGCTGCGCTGCGTTTCCTCCAGCGAAGATGCGGCTTGCGTTAGTTCAGGTTTGCTGTTCTCCAAGTCCATGCGATAGGCATCGAATTCAATTCTGAATATAGAAAACAAATCGGGTTGTTTGAATATGAGCTATAGGCTATTTTGTGGTTTACCTAGCTGTCTCGTATTGTCGTATAGTTAGCAGAGTATCGTCTATGGTCTTATTGCACAGCGTATTCACCGATGAAATAAAAAAGTTTAATGCATTTAACAGCAGTTCACCATTTTTGGTCAAATTTCGTTGCGTTTCCGAGTTGCAGATGAACTCCTTCTGCAGCTCGGGATTCTTCTGCGCCAGATCAGCGAACGCATCGGCCAGCGATTGCTGCGAGGCGACAACGTGTTGAAAGTGTGAGCTAAAAGCACGCGTCAAACGTAAAATGGATAAATATTTCCGTTGTGTTTCACGTAACTGTTCGATCTGTGCCTCCAGTTCCGAGTCAACGGTACGTTGCGATTTGCCCAATTTCTCGAGCATTATTTGCCGTGTGCATTTGTACGTTGATATACTCCAGTTCTTGAGGCTATCAATCTTCGAGGCGCTTGTTCTTATCAGGCTACTGCTGCCGTCTGCTGAGGTTAGAAAGCCATTGGTTGTATGTGGATTTGTTGGAGACATTGGCGTGGTGGGTGCTGCAAAGCAAACAAAAATCGTTTCGCTGATTCATAGATTGTTGCATAGCTGAGTGACGCACCTGAATGATTTCGCAAAGGCAAACTGGTGGACATGCTTAACGGGTTTCCTGTGCCAATGCTATGACTGCTATTGCTGCCGCTCACTCCCATCCCCATTCCGATTCCCATTCCTAGACTACCACCCTCTGTGCCTGTGTGGACGGCACCGCAGCTATCGTTCATGGATGGTGTGTCCTTGAGCATTTCATGTATGCTGCGCTCCCGTTCCGCCATGCTTTGCGTTCCTCGTTGCCTTATCGGAAAACTATAACTTAATTTCACCAGAAAAAATCGTTCAACTGCTCTTGCGAGGGGCAGAGGCGTAGACGAATTGCCCGGTGGTTGCACTTAAATCAATATCGCACGCTATTTGGTGCGTTTGAAATGCTTGCTCGTCTGTTATCCACACCACTTATAGTTGATTGCCAATGCAGTGCATTCGCAATAACAATTTAAATAAATTTTGAGCAGAGAAAAACTATAGAATTAAATACAATGCTGTGTGACCGACGTGCCGGCTATGTAAAAATACCAAATTCTTAGGTTACCACAATTTCGATACTATTGTCAAGTCCAAAAGTTCACGCCACTTCGATTATTAGAACTACGGTTTGAAAACAATTAAATAAGTCACACAGCCGAAATATTGTAAAAAGTATAGAGCTTGAAGTGTGACAGCACCGTCGACCAATATTATAGAATACGAAAAACACGGAGTGACCAGCGCTCCGAGCTAGCAAAATACCCATATTTTCTTCGCAGACATGAAATTTTTAGATACCCTAAGTATGTGTACAAAATATTTATCTTTAGAGACCTAATGCTGACAATACATGTATATTTATAACTATCCCAGCTCGTCGCGCTCGCTTAATAAGAAAATATTTTTGTATTAATATGAGTGGCAGCACTGGCCTAACCTGATCTGTACGGCAGTTCATGTAAGTGGATAAAGTGAATGGCAAACAATATAATAATAATTTAAGGGGAATTTCGGCCAAGTTAAGCCACTCTTCTACAAATATACTGTATACATATTTTTAAGTGTGATTTAACGAGCATATGTCGTAATTATGATACCAATGCAATTAGTTTTGGGTATCGGCTGCGTAATTGTGGCTGCAGTCGCTGCAATTTATTTTAGTCAACCGGTGAATCAACGACCTCACTCGAGTGGAGGATGCAGAATAGATGATAATAACGATCGCAGCTTCAATAATAGCAAAAAGCGAAAATTTCGTGAAAAGTGAGTATATTCTACTCTAATATATATAAATATATATATTTTTTTTGTTTCTTTTAGCAAGCCTGGCGACAAGTGTCTTATCTGCCATGAAGAAATGACCGAAGAGTCGATGCATAAAATGCGTTGTGGTCATGCGCTGTGCAAGCTTCCTTGCTTTCGTGAGTATCGCGAATGGCGTCGCAATTGCCCATATTGCGAACAAATCGTGATACGCATCGATCAGCCTGGCGACGCTTGCTCGATCTGTTGTGAGCCCATGGAAGTGCAGAATATGGAGTACCTTCGCTGCGAGCATGCGCTTCACACACTATGCCTGCAGGAGTACAAGAAAAACAATTATAAGACTTGTCCCATTTGCATGCGTAACATGTGAGCGCCTTAGTATGCGTCTCGAGCTGAATGCATGCAGTGTAAACTAGAGCAATATGAAATGCAGCTGATAATGGCACAAACATAGTTATAGAATCTATAATATAGATATATATGTATATACATATATGATAACCTTGTCCGCATGAGCGTTTGTAGAAATCAAAGCAATTATATTGCAATACATGATCAATTGTTTTGATTGCAAAACTAATGTCCATCTTAATAAATTAATTTAATATACAGAAATCTATTAGAATGCTAAAATTTGATAAATTTGTAAACGATTAGTATGCTAGCAATTAATTAAGTGTTAAAGTGTCTACATTGATTCTACCGATAGTGTCATATCAATGGCTTGCGCGAGTAATTCAAGCGTTAATAATATAACAATAACATTTTAACACATCCATATAATAATGGCATTGATGGCAGATTAATTTAAGTGCCTTCTTGTACTGTTCAGAAAAGTTTTATTAAAAGCTTTCTCGATTTGTAAATGCTTAAAGAAATGCTTCTAGTACAGGTGCCGCGCATTGTTTCCAATTTTCCCGCCAGCGCAAGTCCTGGAACTGTTGCAGGCTGCGCTTGAAGCGGGAGCGAGTCTCAATGATGCTTGGATTGGTAGGGAAGTGCTCGAACCACAGCCGCAGTTGCTCGGCCAGCTCCGAGTGATCGTTGAAGACAAATCCGTTCTCGCCGTGCTTCACTAGCTCTGAGAGGCTGAAGAGAGACATCTGATAGATTTAATCTGCCTGGATTGACATTTCCGACTTTCTCACCATTTGAAGTTGTAGGCGCAGACGGGCAACCCACTGCCAAACATATCCACCACTTTCATGGGCAAATCCAGCCCGCTTGTGCTCCAATGTAAGGATACGCCAAGATCCGCGCTGGCCAGCAAGCTCGCATAGTCCTCAGCCTCTAGCCAGGGTGTTACGATCGAAACTTTTCGCCACTGTAATTTCGCTATTTGAGCCTCGTATTGTGACTTTTGTGGGCCCTTGCCGGTAATGATGCACAGCAAGGATGGATAGACATGTGGCTCGGCTGTAGCCACGCTCTCATAGGACTCCAGGGCTTTCAGGAGTATGCCAAAGTCTTCATCCGGCGTCCAACTGGTGCTCGACACGAGTATTGCTTGCCTCTGTGGCTTATAGAGCACCGTTCCATTGGCCAGCTTCTGAGTGAGTGAAGTTGACTCGAGCATGCCCGATTGCTTCAGATCCGCATAGCATGGCGCCATAAAAGGTGCATAATCTTTGGAAAGCTTCATGAATAGCTCGTGCTTTTGAGGGAGTTCTATGGGATGGAATTGCGCTGGCGCTCGATCATAGAGCACATGCACGGGCCTACAAATACAGTAAATCAAAAATGATATAGTTAGTATGGAAAAATAGAAATTTAAACTGCCACGCATAAGGGCATTTCGTTCGCTTACCCAATATTCCAGTTGCGTTGCAGATCCTCCTTCATGGCATTAGTTACACAAAAGTGTGTATGAGCCTTGCTGCCAAAATAACGTTCCAGTCGCCTGGTAAGACGGATGAGCCGGTTCTGCTCTCCTCCGGCCATGCCCAACGCCAAGATAGTGTAGGTGTAATTATGCCAATCGATGGCTAGCTTAGTTCGCGTCAAGGCGCAGTATAAATAGCAAACAATCAACGTGGGTATGCCGGGGGGGTTCTGTACAAGCAAGAAATTGGGTCGCCTTATCGAGATTAGGGCCATCAACAGACTTAACGTTTGCCAAATGGCTTTGAAGAGCAGCTGCAATTTGGGTGTTAGGTTTGTGATGGGGACCGCAGAGAGTTCGTGAATTTTGCACTTGGGTTGTGCCACAGTTAGCGCATCTAGCGGCTGTGTCTCAATATATCCAATTATGTCCACATTGTAGTTGTCTTCGAGGAGGCTCTGAGCGTGGTATTGCATACGTGGACTGCGTCCGATATCTCCCAGCACAATGACGCAAGCATTGCGTTTTCTCAGTTGTAGTTCCACCATATTGTTAACCAAGTGTCGACTGATGCAATGAATCGCCTTAATTTACTGCAGTTCAAATGCAGTAAAAACTCATTTGTTATATCTTTCAATTGTTAACCAGGTAACTCGCCATTGTGGCGGTTATGCGATATACATACGATTGAAAGATTCGGTAATCGATAAATATTGCTAGTAAAACAGCTGTGCAAAGAGTGTGGCCGTATATGGATGCAACTTAACAGCTCAATTGAGTTTAACATTCTGTTAAACCGTTTGAGTATTTTGGCCGCGCACCATGTTAAAGTCACTTCAAATGTTTCCTTACTGTTGGTGTGCAAGGACGTAACGCGGCATAACGTATAACAGATCTGTTTATGGTTCGTGTTATTCAAACTGTGCGTGAGTGTGTGGGTGTTATTTACTGAATGCCCTCTGTGGCTACTATAACTAATATAATAAAAATTTATAAACTGTCAAGTGCATAAGTAACTAAACAACAAAAGCAAAAGAATATCAAAAACAGTCGCAACTAACGGGTCAAATCGTCTTTACTTTTGCCGTCTGCAATGCGGCAAAATTTTTGCCGGTAAGTGAATGAACCAAAAATACGCAATTTTGTTTTGGCATTCCGGTTTTCCGCTACATATTCGCCGGCACAACAAAGCGACCGCCCAAAATTCTCTCAGCTCCCTTCCCGCCCTCCACACCTATAGCAGGTTGGCGCCGTCGCTGTTACGAAGTCCCGTTCTGATTACCCGCAAAAATGTCAATTTCGTGTGTATGTGTTTGTGTCTGGGAATTTTTCGGTATTTGTTATTCAGTGAATGAGCTCTAAAAGTATGCAGTATTGTTTATTAATAATTTATGAATAATAAAAGTAGACGTTGTTAATAATAATATCAATATTGGTATGTGTGTGTGTGTTACGCACAAAGATGTATACGCTTTACGTTACGAGTGAATGGACATAAATACGTGTTCCACACACACACACACACACACACACACACACACACACACACACACACACACACACACACACACACACACATACACAAATGTATTTAGTTTATCCCATTAGAAAACTGTCTGCAGCGTCTGCGTTGCCAGACGAGACACAAGCACTTCTCCTCTCTCTCTCTCTCTTTCTCTCTCTCTCTCTCTCTCTGTCCGCTGGTGACTTGCCGCCTGCATAGTCAAAGCCAGAGTCAAAGCCAGACCCAGAGCCACCCCCAATGACAGGCCCAGAAGCTCAGCCATCACACAGGAGCTCGGCACTGGCAATAGCTGACTGGCGGCTGTGGGTGGTGGGTGGCTGTTCGGTTCATCCCTATGTGGACCTGGTCTGCTGCAACTTTTCGCCGTTGGTTTTTGATTTTTGTGCGGCGTTTTATTGCGTGTCTAAAGTTTTGTGGCGCATTTTGTTTCCATATTTGACTGGAAAAATATGCAGGAAGCGTCGACGGTTGAGACGTCGACTCATTTTTTGCAAGTGTATTTGAAATGCCAAATACCGCTATGATATCCACATATGATGGTTCTATGTCAGTCTTGCTTGACTAGCCCAACACCCTGTAAATGGTCAAACATAGTTAAATAATAAAAATAGTCATCGATCATAATAATTTAACATTATCTCCTCACACACATTCAAAGGGCTCACAAACTAATTAACTCGTTTTCTCTTATTTTTACAGCAATATAAAAGCATATCATAACGGATTATTAATACATATACATAAGTGAACTGTTCATCCAATAAAATCGCCATAGGAAAAGTAAAAAGAAAAGTTTACCATCTATTGAAAAATTGTCTATATCGTGTCGTGGCTAATCAGACTAAATATAATTCACTGCGAGCAGCGAGCAGAGAGAAGCGAGAGGTAAGTTGCCATAGTTGAGAGTCGATTAACGCGACATCAACTGCAGCTCCAGCTGCAAGTGCCACAGCAACGCGTATGTGGCATGCCGTGGCAAGTGCTTCATTTGAATAATTTACAGAGGGGAAGAGCTGTGGCAGAATGTGCCGGCGCGTGTCTAGACGCGACAACAACTAATGCAATTTGTTTAGAGAGACAGAGACAGGGAGAGAGAGAGGGAGATATAGAAGGAATAGGATAGTTGGTGAACGGGCAAAGGCGGAAGGTGAGGCTGATGTAGGCATAGCAAAAGAGACCGCTGTGTGCAGCTGCCTGGCAAAATACTCGTGTATCCTAAACAAACTTCCGCCTCGTCGGCGCACATACCAAATATGTAGCTTGGCTATAATTAAAGAGGTGCGTGCGGGATAGAAAAAGAGCCAGCGAGAGATAGAGAGAGAGAGAGAGAGAGCGAGAGGAGAAGCTGCTAGAGAGACAGCGACAAGTGCATGCACAGTTCTTCTGCGGCTATTTTTGTTGTTTGCATTGGCTTTTCTTATCGCTCTCCCTCGCTGCCTCCGCGTCCCTCTCGTCCCTCTGCTGCATGAAGTGGAAGACGCTGAGCTAACAAACGGCGCCAAGTGCCATTTGTGACATTTGCCCAAAAAGAGAAAACTCGACACATGTGCGCCTTGAGTAGAAAAGGTCCACAAGTTCTATAGGCTTCAAGTGCGTTAAAATATATAGCAACGGACGGACAACTACTTCCAATGCATATCGAAGTGTGACAAACTGTTTGCTGCAGGTCACTCTGGAGTCACAGCAAGTCAAACTACCTAAATAACAAGTCATATCTTCAATGTTAAAACAGCTCAAAGTCAGGGATTGTAGGTAGTTCAATTTGTGTCTGGCCTTGAGTGAACTCTGAACCCCGCGATCTTGCTATATCAATTCAAAGTATAATACAATTTTGTATTTCTTATAGGAACTCACAGCATAATATCAGCTTTCCATGTTAAATATAAAATAATATGATCGATTTATATCGATAATTAAAGTCGTATAAACTTTGCGATATAATTGGCGAATGACAGCCTTTCCCATTTTGTTTATAGATCTGCCAAAATTCATTGCTTTTGGAACTGTATAATTCGATCTCAATTGAATTCTATTAGAATTAGTCAGCTTCTATTTTAATATGAGCTTTAGTGATTGGATCGGTGAGGCTTTGAGAGGCAGAAGCAGTGGATGGTAGAGGAAATGAGTGGAAGCTGTGATAGGTAGAGACGAGGGTAGAAGTTTTTATGTGATAATGGAGTTTCAGGTTTGACAAAGACGAATTTCTGTTCTGTTCTTTTTCAAATATACGTATATTTCATTTACGGCGATTGACATACTTATACATTTAAGTTCGAATTTAATGGGTCGATTTTAATTTCGCGTGTGCGTATCTATGTGTGTGTGTGTGTGTGCGAGTGATTGTTTTAATACACTTACGTAAACTTGAAATATAGTATGTCCAAGTCATAGATTAGCTGAGGCTTCAGTGTATTTCCCGGCGAAGCCCTTCCGTGCTTTAGTTTTATACTCGGACTTTCTCGGGCCTATTGAAATGTCCATTTCCATAATTAGCCATTAACACGGAGCTGGGCATATCATTTCAAGCAAATTTAGCTTCTGCGAGACATTTGAGTGAAGGCAATGATAGAAAAAGGCTCCAAGTGGGCAGGAAAATGGTGGAGAATGCATGGCAAAAGAAAGACAAAATTGCAACGAAAATAACAGCGAACCTAGAAGTGGCGCCAATGACGTTGTTGGTGTTTTGCAACGCTGCTAGTTGTCTAAAGTTGCCAACGGGCAATTGTTGCTGTTGTTGTTGCTGCTGCTGGAGATGCTTAGAGGAAATGACTAGTGGAAATGGAATGGGAGTCAACTGCAGCGTGAACGCAGAGCAGTTAGAAGAGTTCGCTGGCTGCTCATACCAAACAATTTATGCAAAGGTGAGATAGAGAGAGAGAGAGAGAGAGAGAGAGAGAGAGAGAGAGAGAGAGAGAGAGAGAGAGAGAGAGAGGGAGTCTGCTGTTGCTGTTATTGTTACTGTTGCCGTTGCTGCTGTTTTGGGGCAACATTTTGCACCTTTCACGTTTATTGTGACATTATGCTTTAAATAATGGATAACAACAATAAAAGCAACAGCAACAACAGCAGCACGAACAAAGCAAACACTTTTTTAGAACAACTAGCAATAGGGGAATGAGATTGTTTTAGGGCGGCATAAAAGGTGCCTTGGACTGGCATTGTTGTTGTTGTTGCTTTTTTGTGTGTAGCTGCCACTCTTTGCTGTTTGTTTGCTTTTGATTTTGGTTATGCTTATGCATACATATTTGCTGGTCATAAAAGGGCATAATAATGATATAAAAAAGGGGTTTTGTAGACCAATTACACATGTGTATATGAAATTGATATAGATTTTTAAATATACTTTATGTTGTCTACCTGAGCTTATGTAATACTTGTATCCTCAGATGTAATATGCACATTCCATCCATAAAAGTCAAGTCAATTATTACAGGGTACAACTCTGTCTCCATAATCGCTCAACTCCACTTAGCCGTTTATCCTGTTTGCCTTTGCCTGTTCTTTGGTCTGCTTTAACATTTTATTTTGATTAAAAAGCAACCGCAGACCCACAAAAAATCAAGTAAAATACAAACTTGAGCACGGCAAATAGAGAAGGGAATATGCGCCCAGGGAACTGAGGGCGGCATGAGGACCTGCCATAAAGTAAATGGAAAGATTGAAGTCAAGTGAAAAACATGCTGATTAAAATGTTCAGCAAATGAAAAAAATTAACAGTTCTAAAGAGATTCACAAAACGGAAGTTGAAGCCAGATATGACAGTGAAGAGAAATGAAAAGCACAAGAGAGGAAAAGTAAATAGATATTATAATCTATTTCACTATGTATATCTCTGGTAAATATGAATAATTTGCATATACATAAGACAGTCTATATGAGTAAATATATTTATTTTTTTAAAGTCACTTGAAGCCAATTAAAACTAATTTGGCATATTACTTTGTTGTGTTTTTGCCTGTGCTATGGTCATTGTAACACACTAAGAATCCAATTAAAATAAATTATGCATTTTATTAAGGCATTCAACAACATCAGCAACAACACCAACAACAATAACAACTATCAAAATGTGTAAAAAGAACATGTTGAAGTTACAGTATGGAGAAAACGACATGAAAACAAAATAAAGAAAAATGTCAGGTAACAACAACGGAACCCAAGTTGAAGCTCACGTGCGCCTTGACGGCTTGTCACTTTGTCTGCGGAGGCAGCTGAACGAAGAGTGAATGGAGGGATGCAGGGCTGCGGGGATGGGGTGGGGATTGACTGTGCCTCGACAGCACCTAAGAGGGTGGGCACCTCGCTTGCCACAAAGTGAGTCATTTAAGGAGCACGAGCACGAGCACGAGCACGGGCACGGGCCTGTCTTTTGGGAAATTCAGAGCCGCTGACTTTTTGTTGGCTGGCGACATCGTGTCAACTTGACTATATATGTATATGTATATGTATACGTGTGTATATGTATGTGTGAGTGTGTATACATGCATCTGTGGGCGTGTATGGCTTTGTCTGGCAATTAAGATCGGCATTAATGTATACACAGAGAGAGAGGAAGAGAAAGTCTGAAGGCTTCGTGTAATTATGCAGGTGCCGATTAAGTTCCAATACAATTTACATATATCTTCTCTCAGACAATCGCAAATTCCTTTATAATATTTCTTTAAAGAAAAACAAATCAAATACAAAATATTTCATTTTTCTGTTAAATCTGATAAGATGTCTGACAAATTCACTCCTGAAAAATGATAGACAATCTGTCATTTTAAGTATTTAAAAAGCTCAAAGTATTTAATATTATTATATATAGTCTTAGAGTTCAAATCAAAACATATTTTGGATACTTTTCGTTGTCTTTGTAACTCAATGCTAAATGATTTGTGTTTGCACAGTGAAGTATGCAAAATAAAATCAATTCGTGTAAATTCCATTACATTGATGCTGCAAATATTTTCTAATTTTGTAAAGCTCTAAAGGAACAGGAATTGAGTTGCCAAAATCCTGAGTAAGGAGTATCCTACCTCTCTCTCTCTCTCTCTCTCACTCGCCGTTTTTCTTTTCTTGTTCCATTGTTGCTTTTCTGGTGGCTTGTAATCAAATAAATGAGTGTACCCAGGTGCTCCCTGAACGGTACTCCATCCCTCCCCCCTTTCCCTTGGCTGGTGCTTTGCCTTGTCTTCATTATTGGCTTTAGTCTGCGCTGGGACATTCCCTGTCCCTCTGCTCCTCCATAGCGTTCATTGTGCTCCGTTTCGGTTTTTAATGATGCGCAATTTGTCGTTAATTTTCAGTATTTTATTTTATGTTTTGTTTTGTGCTGCGAATGCTTCTCCACATTACGTCCGCCCCAGCGCCGGCTGAGCTCCTTGGACTCCATCGGGGCTCCCCTTTCCCCTTTGATTGGGCTCCTTTGGTATTTGCCATTATATCGTCCAACTTTTGGAGAGGACGAGCTAACTTTTGTTTTATGTCTTTAGGCCGTGCGACAACTGCCGAAAAGTTTCTTGAGGCAGGGCGTCCATAAATGTGGATTTTAGTTGCTGATGCTATTTGATCTAAGACCTAATATCCTTTTCATGGCTATTAAAGTCTGATTAAACGTTTTCGCCCATAAGAGGGCAACTTTTATATGAAATATGCTTGCCAAATTCTTCCTCTTCAACCAATTTGAATTTCTCGATTTCTTAAATTAAGTTGACTAACCAGTTAATGGCGTCCTGATTATGGCCATTAAATAAGCGGAGCGAAAGTGAAAGATGGAGAAAGAGATGTATATATATAGAGAGAGAGAGAGAAAGAGAGAGACAGATATAGACAAAACGACGCAAATGAACTTCCAAATCTTTTGTCAACGGAAAAAAGATTAATAATGGCAACAGATAAAAATA